AATTTCATTAAAAATAGAAATTGAAGTAATATAAAAATGATTTATTTCAACATCTTATATATCGCTTAAAATAATTGAGTTTAACATATTCTTAGAACACGCAATCATTAGTGACAATATTTTTATAATTTGTGTAAGAAATAATACATTCAGTATTATAACTTAGGGCGGAAGAATTTAAAATATACACACAAAGCACATAAGCCTTGGTCTGATTTCCACCCAAGCAGCACAGCACTATTAAATTATATTTTTCTTTTTGTGTAGTTTTATTTTTTTTCCAAAAATATGAATAAAATTTAACGAATAAAAATATTCACAAAAAATTTACCTCCTAAAAAATTTCCATTTATATTTTTCTTCCTTAATTTAGGCAGAAAATTCTTAAGTAGTAAGTTGGCATCCCTTACTATTACGTGCTAGGTACCAATGCAATCCAGCTCAAGGTTAAACAAAATTTAAAGACATCGTTAATACCGTAATTCGTATTTAAATGCAACTAAAAATGTTTTTTTCCATGCTGTTAAGATTCAAAATTACTTAACTACGCGCTTTGTCGCCCGTTACGGCTCAAGGCTAAACAAAACAATAAAAATATACTTAATAATATCGTTGTAGTGATCGTTGATACCATGATTAGTATTTAATTGAAACGGATCTTATTGGCATGGTTTTAAGATTCAAAATTACTTATCTTATTCAAAATATCTGTTTAAAAATCTGATATTGTGCATTGCTTGCCGTCCCGCTCTAACTAGTGAGTATTTATATCTCACGTGCTCTGTCGCTCGATATCTGATATCGTGCATTGCTTGCCGTCCCGCTCTAACTAGTGAGTGTTTGTATCTCACGCGCTTTGTCTCTCGAAATCTATTTAAAAATCAGATATTGTGGCAAACGCGTATGATATCGCGATTCGTGTCGGTATAGCGAGCGAGCACGTTACATCAGATTTCGGAAATATCAGATATTGTAAAATACATAGATATTGAACGAGCCAGTAAGCGATATTCGGATATTGTACTAATATCTAGTTTTCATATCTGATACGATATGTATCGCCCACCACTAATCCATACACGCTTCTAAATGAAAACCAGCGTTTCGTATTTGTTGAAATGTTAAGAGTTGATTTGGCTCGCACATTTTTTCGAAGGCAGTGTACAAATATGATATTTTAGCGTTCCGTACCCAGAGGTTAATACGAGACCCTATTACTAAGACACCGCTGTTTGTCCGTCTGTCACCAGGTTGCATCTTATGAACCATGATAGACATTGAATTTTTTACAGATGATGTATTGCTGTTGCCGATACAGCAACAAGTATTAAAAATCAGAATATGGTATATATAATAATAATAATAAAATATCTTTATTCACATAGACGCTTGCGCGTTCTTATGAAACGTCAAAATTTTACAAGAAATTAACACGTTCGTAAGTTACCACCGGTTCGGAAAGCAGTTTCTGTTGAGAAGAAACCGGCAAGAAACTCAACAGTTGCTCTTTTTTTTAAAAAAGTCAGTTTACAATATAAATAGTACATGTACAATAGTCTTGTTTTAGCCTACGTGAGTATCAACAGTATTAACCCCACACATTGGCGTCGTCAAGATATTCAGCAATAGAATAATAGGCTTTAGCCATAAGTTTACTTTTAATTTTTCGTTTAAATTCATCAAGTGGCAGACTTAATATCGACTGTGGGATTTTATTATACATGCGCACACCTTGCCCCATGAACGACCTGTTTACTTTTTTAAACGAAACAATGGCGTAGTTAGTTTGTCCTTATTTCTAGTATTTAGTTTATGTCTGTCACTATTCTTTAGATAACTATTAATATTATTTTTAACATACAAAATATTACAATAAATATATTGAGACGCAACAGTGAGTATATTAATCTCTTTAAAAAGGTCTCTGAGTGTATTCCGGGCTCCGATGTTATAGATTGCTCGGACAGCTCTTTTTTTGAAGAATAAATATAGAATTTATATCAGATGCACTACCCCACAACAAAATGCCGTAAGACAAGATGCTGTGAAAATAACTGAAATAAACAAGTCTGGCAGTGTCGATGTCTGATAGCTGCCTAACCTTCCTAACTGCAAAAACAGCGGAGCTTAACCTGTTCGCAAGAGATGATAGATGGGGACTCCATTGGAGCTTTGAATCCACTGTAATTCCCAAGAATACAGCGGACTCAACAGGATTAAGGGTTACGCATATGGTACGGAACCCAACGTGCTCGAGCCCGACTTGCAATTGGCCGGTTTTTAAATAACTTTTCAAGAACAGAACTTTCGAGAACAGAAACAAAGTGATTTTGTTTGACACAACTCATACTGAAGTACACAACACTCATTTTAAACAGAAACATTGACATAAACTAACTAAAATATAAACCTATATGTATAATTTTAAACAGAATTAATACTTAATCTGATTTCTCTATAAGATTGTTCCCGCATCGATTTTAGCGGCCCTACACCAGTATCCTTCGCTATCAAATAGTCCAAGGTCCCAGCACACTTGACACGCCCCGAGCGCTAATCTTGTTACTTCTTTACCATCCATTTTATTGGCAAATGTACGAAGACTAGACGTAGCAATTCACTTTTTATTTTACATTTATATTATGAATATCTTTATTTGTTCCAAAAACATTCCCTTACCCCAGTTATGTTATATACGAATAAGAGGTAGATATGAAACTGGTGCACCGAAATTGAGGCACTCAAATTACGCCAATTGGTGTAATTACACTGCGACTCTATAGACTATCTTTTTCCTTATCATACGTACTATCAATTATATATGTCATATAATGTATAGCGGAAATTTTTTAACCTCCGCACAGTATGGACATGCGTCATCTTTATTAATATATCATTGTCCTTACCCAATTATTTAATTAAACACCGTAAATTATGAGACGTAATAAATAATAAGGTAAACAACAGTAATGGATCATTCAATGTTCGTAATCATTCACAAAATAAGTGTAAAATTACATATTTTAATAATAGGTACGTATGAAATTGTTTCTTTGAGCTTAGAAATTATATAATATTTATTGAATATGAATTATTTTCATTACTCTTGTAATTTTTAAAGATAATATTTATTAGTGTAGAGCCAAATGTATTACAATATTATCATTTAGTATTATATAACTTAACAATTTTATTAGGGTTCAGTCTGGTTCAAAGCACAAAAAGCTCTAATAACAGTATTGCAATAGAAGTAATATCATTTGTAATACTTCTATTGCAAGAAAACGTAGATAGATTACATAAATTAGAAATATTCTGTTCAGCATAAAAATAAAACGTTTCCAATACGCCCCGCCTGCTACTGGAAACGCTACCATATGCGACAGTTAATTGATTTAGTATGTCACTATTACCCTAAACAGACGTTCAGTGCTATAGTGTTGTGCCAATTAATAATTATGTTCTCCTATAACAGACTATACTTACCAAGTCACCGGTTCAAAATAATTTTGTGACCTATAATCAACGTTTAACGCATGGAATATAAGTGAACAATGTGAAAATTTATTATTTTCTTACCCTAAAGAATAGTACTCGCTTTTGATTTAATTTTCAAATATGATAGCACATTAATACATCCTTAATACTATAGTTAATGAGTATTTTTCTTTTTAAATAATTTTGTCTGGTGTAAAATTCGAAGCTGTCATATTTTTTCATAGTCTTTTAATTAAATTATTTAACTTAAACTGTTAGCCTATTTTACTGTCGTAAGGATTTTACAGTCTTATAAAATTGATAATTTAATAGGCTAATAAATAATCCGTTAAATTGTCTTTTTATTGATGATTTGATGTAAAAAATACACACCTCTTTCATTTGCCAATATATTTTTATTATTTTTTTATGACTAGGAGCTATTTTTCCATTACATCATCGTAAGTATTTGCGTTTCCATTAAAACATAATTATGTTCAATGATGGCTTATTTTGTTATATACTAATATTCTATTATATATTCATGTTATTTAAAAAAAAATCAAGAGTAATTTATGAACCACGGTAATGTTTCAGTTCAAAGATACAAAAACAATTCTTTATTATTCCGTATAGAACGTCAACATACATTAAAATGATTTTAGTTTGCGTAATACAATTTGATTTGCGTTGAATATTGTACTGATCATTTATTAGCGTTGTGATGAAAAGTGAATCTTGATAATTCTCGTGTATCATCTTAGTGACAAAATAGAAGAGCAATAAGTACCTAACTACTAAGTTGAGGATTGGGCGAGGAAGCCGTAGAGTTGATATCCACGTCGTATACGGCATTCTTATAACGGGGATTATTCTATTTTCATTACTTTATAACATTAAATGTTTGAGTGGTACAAATTCAGATTCGTAAGGTGTCTATGCTAGTTCTAAAAGTTGTATAAGCCCACAAAAATTAGTAATTTTCACAGTTTTCTAATCGCATTGTCACCGTAGTATATACTATTGCGTGATTTGGACAATTGCTATATAATGATAACTTTGGTTACTTGTGTCCGTGTCCTTTTAAAACAGAAGTTAAGATCGCAGCCTCGTATACTTTAATTGTTGGTTTCGATACTACGTTCGGAATTACAGATATAACATGAAAATCTTTCCTTTTAACATAGTGGTGACATGAAGACGGAGTATGTAGCTCAATCATCATGTACATACACTGTAATTCGCTTGAGATGACTTAAGTTATGAATACAATGTACGTACATTACGTTCGTATGAAATCGCAGCGCTTAGATAACCGATGCGCCTAACTAAATTTAAACAGTAAACCCTTTAAGGGGATTATACTTGTAAGGTGTTGAATTGCAGCAAACAGTTCACACTTGCCGTATCGCAATTCGACGGGCGTTCGAAAACGTCGGTTGTGACAGAGTTTGAAGTAAAATGTACCCTCCGTGTATAGTCATTAGATAATTTTTAGAGTGCCCTACGGCTACAGTGATAAAATGACTGTGACGTCACTGCGGGTGGTTTTTTCGATGGTGTTCCTGATGCTGCAGCAATGCACAGACGCCAGCCGGGTGCAGGCAGCTGTTAGTTTCCTGTGAGTATTTTTAAATCTTCGTGAACAACCAACACTAATGCCTGTAGGTCTGTTCAATTCAAAGGAGACAGTTCCGTCACGAGACCAACATTTTCACTTAAAATAATATTTTTATTTTGAAGAGACTGCAAGCCTTAAACACCACCTGGCGTTCGTAGTTGTGTTGCTAACCTTAAGAGATGGTTCTGTACATTCTGTGTGCGTTCATGCACTAGAATATATAATACTAGAACTGCCGTGTAGCGCTTCCACAGTTATGACACAATCTAAGCTATTTGCATTCGATTTCGACTTTTCTTGTGCGGCTAAGAATTTATTAAGTTTTGCAAACACTTGAATTGATTTTTTTTCATTCCGTCATCACGTCTCGGCGGTTAAACGGATTGAACTAAAGATATATTACACGTTGGATTATCGAAAAGCACTAAAACTGGTAGAAGCAATTGTAGTTAAACTCTGTAGAATATTGCTACAATTGTCTTGAATTGACGACTTCACAGAGCAAACGCGTCGTATCAAGAAATGGAGATAAAGTCCGAGTCTAGCCTCTCGCTTCGGGACATTCTGCCGGTGAAAGCAAAGTACTACGACAAGAACAGGGCCCCGAAGCTTCTTGGACAGCCGACCGTGGTCTACTTCCACGTGACTGTACTGTCTTTGGATTCGATCAACGAGGAGAGTATGGTGAGAACCTACATGGAGCTGGTGTTGACCATTCTTCAGATAATAACAATGAAGCTTACGGGACGTAGGCATAAAATTTAAGAATGTTGAATGTAGAATGTTAATGTTATGAGTAAGAGAGTGTAAGAACTAATAGTTTTTTATCGAGTGAGTGCGTTTACCATCTTAGAGAAAGTGAAAAAACTTATTATCAGATTGAATGGTGGTCGAGCAATTTTTTCAATAATTATTGTTAATAATGAATAACAACCGTTGACATTCGTCTATGAATTCGCACTGGTCGTATGACCAACCCATTAGTCTTACCAATTACGTGGATACCACGGTGCACAGTATAAAAAATCGATATTACTACGTGAACAATATAAGTATTAAAATTGATCAGTTAAAACAGTAGATTTTTTTACTTTATCAATTATGTAGCCTGTGAAATATAGTAGATTATCTATAATAATAATAAATAAATATTTACGATACATTTTTACACAACGTTCTCAAGTCCATTCATATGCTTTGTGACCTTTACAAATGTACTTTACGTTACAGTTTTATACGTAAGGGTGTTCTAAAATTGTTTGTTTTGGAAAATTTAATAATTCAGTAAATATTGATGTTTAAAGTACGTAAATGTTTACTATAATTTTAAAAAATTATCCTCTATATGTGTCTTCATTTATTGTCGCGATTGTAACGACAACAATATAAGTAAGACAGTAGTGGGGATCGAACCCACACCCTCTGGCGCAATAGACAGGTTCACTACCCACTACGTCAATCGGGTCGTTGAGTTAAATCGAGCTATACTTTAGAAGGCCATTTAGCTCGTAGAACCCATAACCGCTGGGGACGAAAGGTTCTCGAGTGGCAGCCTCGAACTGGCCATCTCAGTGTGGGACGACCCCGCACTAGATGGAGTGACGACCTGTGCAAATGTTCGGGATGTCGATGGATGCAGGTGGCTCAGGATCGTGCTTCGTGGCAGTTTTGGGGGCCTATGTTCAGCAGTGAACTCAAACAGGATGAAATGAATGAATGAATGAATACGTTAGGATATTTAAGTTCAAATATTTCCTTTTCGTAGACGTACGTGGCAGATATATTTCTCGCGCAATCGTGGCGCGACCCTCGGCTTCGTCTGCCCGAAAACATGCACGAGGAGTACCGGATCCTCGACGTGGCTTGGCTGAACAACATATGGAGGCCGGACTGCTTCTTCAAGAACGCTAAGAAAGTGACCTTCCACGAGATGAGCATCCCCAATCATTACCTGTGGCTGTACCACGATAAGACGTTGCTGTACATGTCCAAGTTAGTTCCTTCAAATATTTTATATATTCTTTAAATCGATAATTCCAAGTGGCTCAAAGGGCTCCATGCAGACCTCTAAGATCTCTTGGATTTAGAAGAACCTCGATATAATCTATAATATCCTAATATATGATCCTAATATATCAAGTACCTCGTGTTAAACTTAGTAGTGCCCGAAGAAGTATCGAAGTTCCTCATAACGATTTCCAGTTAAAGTGTATAGATAAAATTGTCGAAGAATTTTTTTTCAATGCTATGATTGAGGATCAAACGTCCAGACTCTAGCTAGTAAGTGCTGGATAACGTGAGCGCGTGAAAATCTCGACATATTACCTACTTCCTTTTTTATTGCATTTTAGCAATGCTTAGCGTCTCAAATCACATTTTTATAGTGAAAATTCGAAAACTAGAAATGTCGTTTTTGCTTCTTTTGCTAATTTGAGTGCTAGGTCGCTGCATTTAGGATTTAATTTAAAATGTGTAGATAAAATTGTCGAAATAACCTACGCGTTATGTATTCAACTATAATCGTTTTTCTTCTTCCATCTCAGGCTGACCCTCGTACTTTCGTGTGCGATGAAGTTCGAGTCTTATCCCCACGACACCCAGAGCTGCTCCATGATGATCGAGAGCTGTGAGTTCATAAAAATCGCTCCTTTTCTGTGTTATTTCTGCGATTTATACGTGAACACTATTTACGCAGTACAACCACGGTGCCTTTGTTGCATATATAACTAACATATTTATATGTTCCAAAAATGCACGTTGTTGTGAAAGACAGTTAATACTTACCTTCCTAGATAGGAGACAGCTTAAGTATCTTCTTTGATGCTGGTTACCTTACTTACAAAATAGGGTTTCACCAGGATAATTCTAGTACACATGTGTTAACTCAGTGGATTATATTATTTACACAACGTGATTGTGATATCGAATTATGTCCCATCCGATTTATTCTCGCTTTTTATAGACCTTATGAATCATTTTATCAGACTAGCATAGACCTCATGTAAATATTGTACTTCTAAAAATTAATTGCAGTGTCCCACACGGTGCACGATCTTGTGTTCATATGGAACCTCACCGACCCGTTAGTGGTCAACCCGGACATCGAACTGCCGCAACTCGACATTTCAAACAACTATACTAGTGACTGCACTATCGAATATTCCACAGGTATGATGAAGTAGTGAATATAACTCTATTGGTGCATGAACAGGCTCATCTCTTTATCTGACTTATATTGACAAGAGACTATCAATAAGAACGATAACAGTTTTCTTCAATCTCTCTAAGCTGATGATTAGAACGTTGTCTCGGGATGTAAGGATACAAGTTTTAATCCTGGAGTGGACAAAATAAGTTAGGTTCATTCGGTTTTCTCAATAGCCTTGGACACTTTTTTAGGTAGTATTCTTGATGGATCTGTTAGTCTGATGGAGTTTCTTGTTTGTGTTTTTCTTTTCTTTTTAAAAGTGTCTTGATTCATTTTATATGTTTTGTTTCTTTAATATGTAAATGTCGACATAATTACAGCTCTCTATATCGGTTAACTCTTTTTACCCTACTCTGTCACTATTAAGATCTGAACTTGTTACTTATATTAATTATAATCTTGCATTTCCTAAGGTAACTTCACGTGCCTGGCCGTTGTATTCAACTTGAGACGTCGGCTCGGCTACCACCTTTTCCACACGTACATACCGTCGGCGCTCATCGTCGTGATGTCTTGGATCTCGTTCTGGATAAAGCCCGAAGCGATCCCTGCGCGGGTGACGCTGGGGGTCACCTCGTTGCTGACCTTGGGTGAGTTCCCGTTACGTGAACAGTAGACCTTGTATACGTCGAACAGCAGACTAAAACTTGTAACATTTTGACCGCTGTCCGGTTTGACGACGGATGTGTGAATTTGTACGTGTGAGTTTCAACCGTCTCGGGAGTATCTGTGGTTTGTTCCTCTTTTCCACCATAAATCTTTATGAGTTTAGGAATCGATACAATAGAAAAAAAATAATTACCGTATAACGTAATAATTTATTCAAGAATCAGGTAGCTCAAAAAACACGGACACAAACTCGCGGCAAAAGTGATTTTGACGTCCGATAAGAAAAGTAGTAAATAGTTTTGTTGTTAGAGCGTTTGGATGCGTTACCCGAAGGTACAGGTTCGAATCCCGCGGCGCTTAAAGTTTTTGTCCATTTATCTACATAAATTCATATTTTAATTAACCTTGATAGAAGAGATACTTAACCATAAAAGACAGTAAATACTTTCGCCTTCTGTGACTTCTTCTACTATAATAATACCAAGGAGGAAATTTTATGAGTGAAAAAAAAAAAAACTCACAACAGATTTGTGCCATGCAAAGAAGTTCAGAATAAGCACCGTTGAAGTCAGTAGAATTAAATAAATTTATTTTTATTCATCTTCCGGGGTCTGAAAGAGGTAGATCATAAGCTTTAAAATGCAAACTTTAACCTTAAACCATAGCTTTTAAGGGTCATCATAAGCATTAAATACTTATATTTCAGCGACGCAAAACACCCAGTCGCAGCAAAGCTTGCCGCCAGTCTCTTACGTGAAGGCGATAGACGTTTGGATGTCTTCTTGCTCTGTCTTCGTCTTCTTGTCGCTCTTCGAATTTGCGGTGGTGAACAACTATATGGGCCCCGTCGCCACCAAAGCAATGAAGGGCTACTCCGATGAGGACTTATCGAGGGACCTAGACGCCTTCAAGGTAAACATTAAGGCAAACGGTCTGCCTTCCAAAGTCTTAAAGTGGGGGCGCCGTGAATTGATCTAAAATTCTTCGTTAGAATTTCTACCTTTTTTTTCCTCCATCGACAGCTTGTCATGTGCTTTAAGAGGCCTATGAGTAGTATAATTATCCGGTGAGTATTCAGTGCTTATACCTGAAGTAATGAGTTCGCCAGGAATAAGAATGGTAATTTTAAACTGTGATAGGGCCACGCACAGTCTTAGCTGTTGCACGAATGGGCAAGTCCGTCCGGGGAAGTACCACGACCTCACAGAAGACCGGCGTGAAGTGGGAGTGTTAAACTTCTGCGTTTCTTCTGGTGAGTGAGGTAGCCTGGCCCCACTTTATTGAAAGGTGATAACGTATTGTAAGGTAACGTAAAGGTGGCAACCCTACGGGTGTTACAAACGGTAACGGTACCCTACGGTGTACGGCGGTTATCACTTAACATAAGGTGACCAACCAGCTCACTTGTCACCTTCTCACAAAAAAATTCAAATGTTAAGAGATTATGGAACAAATACTTCCGCTTCTTCTCTGCCTTTCTCTCTCAATAAAAGGAAATTTACATTCTTTATAAAATCTCTTATGATTTGATTTTACCGTGACCACAAAAATAAAAACCATGCTCTGATGGAGCTCTAATTAATTATCTTTTGTGGCTCTAATTGATTATCTTTGTTGTTTATTTTGGAGAAATGATGTTGCGAAATTTGCAAGGACAAACGGCTATAAATACTACTACTAACTACTCACCCGATGATATGTAATCACTTTTCGTCAATAAAACATCGTTGGAGCTGTAACGCGTTACCGGCCTTAAAACTTACCTTGTCTACCGTTCTCACCTTTTCTCTATGGCAATATTACTTATTAATTATAACATTAATAACTAATTAAAGAGATAACTAAAGACAGCTGTATTTATATTTCAGCACATATTCCCGAATTCGGTGGATCCGAGGGCAAGTACGTCCGCTTCGCTTCCGCAATACGAGACTTTCTGCAACGGGAGAGAGACCGCTGTATACATCGATCGCTTCTCCCGTTTCTTCTTTCCGTTCTCCTTCTTCATTCTGAACGTAGTGTACTGGTCCACGTTCCTGTAAGCCGCCTTCTAGTACAAACTTCGCTGGAATGTGTCCTTAAAGAGAGGTCTAGAGAAAATCGTACCATCTACTTCATCGTTCAGCTGTATATGACCGTATCAAAACCTTCGAACTAGGTTATCTGTGAAATCGGGATGAAGTAAAGAAGCGAAGTTAAATATACACTGAAAGAAATACTCTTTATCTTTTTTTTTGTATTTTTTTGTGTTAGATCTTAACTAATCGTGACGCAAAGAGACTGCCAGTGTCTGAATCCTCTCATCTAGTCGTTATCTGTAGTGTTCTTTCTTTTAAATAATGAATCTTAATACAAGATTTTGCCATGAATGTTTTGTGTATTTTATTGTACAGTCAAATTAAACATTTTTCAACATTTTTGGTAATGTCGAAACACAAGTTGAAAAGCTATATATTAATATACTTAATTAAGGTAATACATTATTCATTCTTTAATACAAGGTATGGTATTAACGTATGTTAAAAATAGCCGTATTAATTTATGAATTAACTTATTGTTTTCTTGATTTTACGCGAATATTATACATATTAAATGAAACTACTTTACGGATTTTATCGCGTTTTTTTATTTTAATTTAAATTAAAGGTCTGATTTAACTATTAAATTAAAGGTCTGATTGATAAAGATTGTTCAAATGTTTTAAATACTGTGTTGTTGATATTGTATTGTCAATATAAGTATATATTTATCAGAACATATTAGGTAGATCGAGAGTTGTAGTAACTGAGACTAGTATAATTTCTATAATATTTTGTCATGTTGATTCTATATGAAAGGAAATCAATTAACTTGGTGGCCTTGATATGTTATTAATTTAAACATTTAGCATAAATAAATTACCTTATTTAAACTGATGTTGTCTCTTATTTATTTATTGTGTCTAAATGTCTTGTGTAGTTTCTTTTAGATTTATATAGTTTAAGGGTTTATTGATCCTAGATTACAGTAATTTTTTTATTTATCGAATCCATAGTATTGTTGTTCATTTAAAAAAAATCACATTTAAAGTTTCATTTTGAGTGCATAAACTACCAAAAATTAATCGTAAATTTATGTTGCACAGGCGATATATTTCATCAAAATATTTATTGTAAAAATATTATTTGAAAAGTGTTAGCATGCTGACAAGTATTCACTTTAGTTGACGTCAAGAATTGATAAAAATTTTACTTTCAATAAATATTCGGGTAATATATGCTATTCGCCTATTAGGCGGTATTTATCATATTTGGCTGAATATCGAATATATATGTATTCGAACGAATATAGATGTAATATCTTATCATAATTAATTCATTTATTTACCATGCAAATATTAATTTGTCGTATAATAATTTAATTTTTCTTAAAGTTATTAAAATGAGTATTCTTTTGAACTGTCCTAATCATATTTTAGAAATGAAAATTCTACAGCAGAAAAGACTAATTTCTCTACATTTTGTACGCAGTAGTGACTTTTTCTTTCGACACGACATTGATAATTTTTGTTTCCATAAAATATGTCCAAAAGTGGTGTTTGTAGACTGTTATTATTATCTAGTGTAGACCTTAAATTTTAAACTAATAAAAATGTAAAAAGTACGACAAACGGTGGTTCAAGTTTAGCTTGTGCACATATGAAATTACTAAATAAGTAAATTACTAAGTAAGTAAATTTGGACAAATTTGAAAGATTCATCGATACAAGTTTTCCCACAACCGCCCACCAGACGCTTTTAGTGCACGTCGAAGGACGATCACCAGTGTGGTGCAACGACACTGGTGTATCTCAAGGTAGCTGTCTGTCACCACACCTATAAGCGGTATACAAGGACACGTGGCCACATGGGCTAGGAAGATGTAGTGAAACTGGACCTACTGATCGAATGGCTAGACGAGTGGTGGATATCAGTCAACGCTGACTAGACGTCTGCCGTCTACTTACCGCTCATAATACATCAACTCATACTTGATCTGCGGGGTAAGATGATTAAAGACGAAAAAACCACCTGCGTATAGCTCCCCAGTGTGAACACTTTGCTCGCCAAGCCAGAGCAGCTCGAAACTTTTTATCTATATAAGAAGATGTCAAGGGAGCTAGCGACTCACCTGATGTCGAGCAATAAAAGCCGCCTATGGACATTTACAACACAGGGTTGTAAATACAGACCTCTACTCCAACGAAAGCTACCGTGGTCGGAACAGTTCAATGGGGGGTCGAACTCGACTGCAAACACCGTGCTGGTGTCCTCTTTGCGCTACACCTTAAGTGTAGCATCGTGTACACCCGTAAATGTCGCTACCGTGGTCAGTGCACCAGCTAATTTCACGACCGATTAGGCCCGATTAATGGGGACTAGGTCCCCGAAACTCGAATCGCACTGGCCGAATACTTTTGCCTAATTTTCGGCCATTCGGGCAGGAAGCACGCCGAAAATTCTGTATTCGGCACCTTTCTGAATACACAGATAGTTAACTATCCACTGAACTGCTTCTTACATCAGACGGCGTGGGCTCGATCCCCATTACAGGAAAAATATTGTGTGATAAACAGAATTTTTCCAGTGTCTGGATATATGTATAATATGTATTTATTTACAAAAGCAAAGTATGTTTATCTGTTATCTACAGTACAAAAGCTTGGGACAAATACAGTAAAAATGTGTCCTAAAATATTATAATAACATATATTTATTTAAAAAAAAAACAACAATACCGTCTGCCGTCACGATCCTTGGGCAAAAAAAATATCAATGCATGAGATATGCAAATATGCATTATTGCTCGTACGGATCGAGCCAACGCAGTCCGCTCGCCCGTTACAGCAGACTGTTAATAAGGTTATCTAGACATTACAATAGTCTAGACACTAAAATTAGGCATGCGATTGAATTCTTTATCGTTTAAGGTCCACGTTGGATATTCGGGATGTTAAGGCGACGTACCATAGAGATATTATGTTAATTTTTGTGATGAAGAAATTGCTGCAACGTAATATGACTGCAATATACATCAAGAGAGATAAAACGAAAAATTACGTCATGGGACATTCTGTTGGCATAAAGTTCCTTTCGCTGTGTATTATGAAATTATATAAAGGTTATTGAAGAGCCGCGATAGCTCAGTGTCCGGGAGCTCGCCTTTAATGCAATATACTCGAGCAAGCTGAGTTCGATCCCCGGTGCCGGCACCATTGAAGTTTTTAACAGCACCAATGAAATTGTTAATTTTAAGTGCTGAATTATTACGTGTTCAGCGGTGAAGTAAAACTGCATATTTTCGAAATAATTAACAAAAAAAAATATTTAGAAGATATGTGAAGTCCGCCAAATAGCAGTGGGGCCACGTGGTGGACTATGCCTTGTACAGAGGAGACTTTTGCCCAGTAGTGACATATACCTAATAGGCCGATACTTTATCTTATACTTTTATTGAATTTTGTTATTTTTTTCCTTTTCTGTAATAAAACTTCAAATTTCTTTGTTAGAATCGCTGTCGATTTTGCTGGACAGAAAATCAATTGGATAAGTTATTTTAGTTTACTAGTCCATATTTATTATTATTAACGAAAAACAAATCTGACTTCGAAAATCTCGCTCTGTATTCATTTTATAATTGGTTTTCAGGAGTTTTACTAAGTATATCCGGAGCCCAAGATACAATACCAATGAAATTAATATGGAACCAATGGGAGGAAGCACCAGCTTTCAAAAAAAAATAATCATCAAAATCGGTTCACTCTGTATAAAGTTGTGAGGTAACAAACATAAAAAATACAGTCGAATTGAGAAACCTCCTCCTTTTTTGAAGTTATCTGAAAGTGGCGGGAACTTGATGTTATATTTTTATTTTTAAAATGTCTTATTTTTTAATGTTAATAAAACCAGCCTTATAAAAACAGTACAGCCAAAGAGATTTTACTACAACTAAACTACGAAAAGACTTTTTCTCCGACCTATTACATTACCCATTTATATACAGCTTTAGAATGTTGGGAACTTTACATACATAATCAAGTTGCCTTATCTCTTTCACATCCTTTTGAAAGAGATGAGACACCAAAAAGTCCATCGGCTACTTATTATGACATAAAGTTATATTTGTAACGATATTAACACGAGGCGGATGGTGGCTAATGCAGCGAAGTACTATCGGATGTACCGGAGCAGCTTCCCCTTAACATGGGGTTCAATTAAGAATACGAAATGGATTGCCGAAAAATCGCGTCACAATTGTTTTTATTTGCATACAACACGATGGCCGTCTAGACTGCGCGTGACGGGAATATGTCTGCGCATCTACGTGCATAGTTATGCATATCTTGTACACGTTTGTACTTGCAACGGTCTGTGCAGCGAAATTTTGCTTTATATGATGGGTTTGTTGTTTCTTCAGGTTATAAACATATTTACTCTGGAGGCCTCGGGACAACAAAGGCCCCTTGGCCCATAATTATTTTCTATTGATTTCTGTTAATATTTAATGTAATCATGTTTGTACAAAGTACTATAGGTAAAACTAAAACGCGTAAAAAAATAAGAAAGGAAAGATTGTTTACTAGTCTGAATTTGAATGTTTTTTTCCGAGTGCTCTATTGTGGGGGTCCCTCATTTGTGGAGGCCGCGGGGCTGTTGCCCCGGTTGCCCTATCCTAAATCTGGCCCTGAATGGCGCCGTTGCTAAGCTATTGGCTTCGTCGTCGTGGGTCCCACGTCATCGGCATTCGCGGCCTGACGCTTTAACCACTAAGCTAAACGGCGTCAGGCCGCGAACGCCGAAGACGTGGGTTCGATTCCCACAGCGGCGACAATCTTTTTGTACTTTTTCTACATATTTGAATAGGAAGATTATTGTTATAGGGTGCGGTGCAGTGCGGCCCGCCATAACTTTTAAATTCTTTGTGTTCTCTCTTTTTCATCAGTGAATTTTTTCTCGATTGGCCGCCCCTAATTTTTGGTCGCCCTAGGCCCCGGCCTTCTGGCCCTTAGGGCAAATCTGCC